CCTGAGCCCCCTGAAAGATTGTTCCTGGGGCTCAACCGACCCTCAGGAACATCACTGGAAGCCAAGGGGACCTTGGCAGAATCCCTGGAAATTGCTGTTCCCTCTTCCGAAGACCGAGTCTTGGGGACTGTGCGGTTGGATCCAGGCCAAGGCACTTGGCACACATTTGGGGATTGTGCTGCAAACCATTTTGTCACGCACCCCTGTTGTCGGTGTGCGCCTGTAGCTGTGTGGTTCCACAGCCTCTAGCAACGTGGATGTGCAACAGAACCAGACATCAAAGCCCACAATGTGTCCCCCCCCCAGAACTCTCATAGCATTAAACTAGAACTCCCTGTTGGGCAATGAATGTGGGTCAAAGGGAGTTTTGGGGGCTCTATCATGTAATCCGTAGTAACCATTCCTGCCGTTTTAGTTGTGGGTTGTTTTTTTCAAGAAATAATGTAGAATAAAACATTTCATAATAACGAAGTCAACAAGACGGGCAGCCTTGGATTGCCGGTTTTGCTTGACTCTGACCTTGTGTGCCGACTGGCAAAGAAAGAATTCCATTTGGACAGGCTCGCAAGAGCATTGGGGGGGGGGGCTTCTACCTCCGAACTAGGACCCCGGGTGCAGCACCACAAAAACTCACTCTGGTAAGTCCAGAGAGCCACAGTGGTCAACTCCCACGGTGGGTGAGGAGGCAAATGTCTGAATGGGAAATCCAGCAAGCCTTCCTGCCCTTCTCCCGTGATGGCACTGGGGTGCACCTTCGGGACCTCTGCTTCTTGCACGCCCCCTCCCCAACATCTCACAGATGGACACAGAGGCACTCCCATCCACGTCACAGCCCTGTTCTTGCCAGGGAGAGTTCCCCCTCCATCCGCCATCCACCTGGCCAGCACAGCAGGTGCCCTGGTAAACTGAGCCCCGCAGTTTCCTTTTTTAAAAACCGAAGAGGCTTTAATCCCGCAAAGGATCTGGTTGTGCTTTTTATAGAACGGCAGCTCCTCGAATGCTGCCCGAGTAAGGAGGTTAGGGGTAGGAGGGAGGGAATGGGGGCAGCATCCGGCCATTTTGTGTCAGTGACCAAGAAAACTCAGCCAGCAGTCCCAGTCAACTGGTTTGAAAAGCAAAGCGGATAGTTACTCTTTGGGAAGCACTGTCTTGAGAAAGGACTTTAAAACCACTAACCAGTGCAAAATGCCTGGCACAATGCTAGCCAAGAGAAAATAATACTAATACTAACCATAATCATGATCATAATCATAATAGTAGTAGTAGTAGTAGTAGTAGTAGTAGTAATGAAGAAGAAAAGAGGGGGAATAAAGGCTCATGATTTACAAAACCATCATAAAAGATTTTCTACAGAAGGAGGTGGAATTGGGCAGTCAATGGCAAATCATGATAAGGGTTTCAGTGATGTATACAAAATGAAACACCCTGTATTGAGATAACAACAGACCAACCAACAGCGGCTACCGTGTCCTGTTCAGCTGAGTTTCTAAATACAGTTCAGAAACTCAGGAGTCTTTTATTCATGTTATTGTAGGCCATGTTTTGAATTGGTACACATACGGCTCAAGCGCGCACAGAAAGTTTCAAAAGCAATTGTATGGATAGTGTTTGACATGGCAGGTGCTGGCCTCCTCACCAAGCATTTGCAGAAATGCGTATGCGCACAGTCTTGGAGATTTTATTTTGTAATATTGGGGGGCAGGGTTGCAACACCAGGATTGACTGCTATGACACATGTTTGGGCACAATAACATTTTCTCTTTTCTCTTTAATTTGGATTTGTTATTTTGCTAATTGATACGCTACCTTTTGGCTGCCGAGAGGCACCCTTAGAGCCACAAAACATGATAAAAATATTCAAAGAGCATTAGCCCCACCCCTCCCCTCATAAAATGCCCTCAAATAAAACAGCATCCCTGGAGCACCATCATCAATTTCACTTGCTCCATGAAAATATCTTTTGCTCTTTCAGAAGGCCTGGGAGGACAGAGTGCAGTGAGTTAATGAGGACAGTTGCTGGAAAATAGGGTGCCAGTTCATGCCTAAGCCTTGTACCTATCAGAGGGAAGATCAGTTTGGTGTAGTGGTTAAGTGAGCGGACTCTAATCTGGGAGAACCGGGTTTGATTCCCCACTCCTCCACATGCAGCTGCTGGTGTGACTTTGGGTCACTCATAAGTTCTTTCAGAGTTGTTCTCTCAAGGACAGTTCTCGAGAGAGCTCTCTCAGCCCCACCTACCTCACAGGGAGTCTGTTGTGATGGGGGGAACAAAAAGGAGTTTATAAGCCCCTCTGAGACTCTGAGTGAAGGGTGGGGTATAAATTCAGTCTCCTCCTCCTCCTCCTCCTCCATTTCTGCCAGAGAAGGAGAGAGAGAGGTGTAAGGGATCAGCTGACCAGGCTAAACTTTGATGGGTTCTGAAATGTCAGGCAAATCTTTTGCAGAAAGGCCACGGTGGCTCAGTGTTTTCAGACTCTTTGAACCAGGGAAGAGGGTCTCCTGAGCTTGGCATTCCAGGTAAACTCCCTCCCGCCTTACCTGTTCATGGCCAAACAGCTTTTTGGTGCACAGGACTGGCATTAGTACAGAAAACAATATATATATTTTAACACACCATCCTCCACTTAGGTGGTACCTTAGGACATAAGCAACAAAAGAAAACCTATCCTGCTCCCCCCCCCGAGCAGTTTACAAAATAAACTTTGATGGGGGGATGAAGAGAGGTCAAGTTAATAGTATTAAAATGCCAAAATGCAGTTTGGCCTTTGTTTCATGGTGTGTAGTTTCTCAGCTGTGTACCAATGCTCCCTCTAAGCTATGGAGCCCTGTCAGCAGAAAATCTACTTTTTGAGCGACGGGCATTAAAGTTGTGAGTGAGTCATTTGGCTCCTGCATCATTTAGTTTGCTCTGGAGCCATCCTTCCTTAGCTAAGACAAAAATGTGTGAGCCGGAGGCTAAAAAACTGTGAGCTGGCTCACACCAACTCAGCTTAGAGGGAACACTGGTGTGTACCCAGCAGCATATGAGAGCCTGTGGATCATGGCGATTTTTTAGTGGAGATGTGAATTGTGTGCAAATAACTTCAGTATTTGTGGTGCTTTTTGTGGGCGGAGAGGTGTCCCCATGCAGGAACTTTGGTGCCCACCCTTCTGCTCTGAGGTGGTATTTCAAAAGGCCAGGAAATGGCATCAGTATTAGTTTCTCTGACATTTTAGCCCCAATGACACCATTGTGAGTGTTCCCAAGGTGTCCACGTATCCTTGTGTGATTACCTCAGAAGCAGGGGTCCCCAATGTGGTTGCTGTGGCGGCCATTGGGCCTGCCAGCACCTTCTCTTGACGACTGCCAATTGTTTCTGTTAAATGGGTAGGGCCAGGTCAGGCTTTTGTCCAGCAAGGCTTCTTATTAACAGTTGGATAATTGATTGGCTGTGTAGATATTTACAAATGTTCCTTTGGCAGCCGCTGCCACCGCAACACAACGATCTTCAAGGTGTGACTGAAGTTAAGCTGCGGCAGCCATTTTGAGGCAACCATTTTGTTGCTGCGCCCACCATGCCATGTCAGAATTCCAAACGTGCCCTCAGGTTCAAAAAGGTTGGGGCTGCCCAGGTTCGTAATGTAGCTCAACTCTGTCAGCCAGAGATTAGTCAGCTCTTTAGGAACCCCGAGGAGCCAGTTTGCTGGAAGAGAATCTCCTAAGTGGTGGTCTGAGGGTTCAGCCATCTGGAACAAATTACTCCAGTGTGACAACCATTACAATTAGGGCTGCTGACCGCCAGGTGGGGCCGGGAGATTTCCCGGAATCACAATGGAACCTCCAGACTTCAGAGATTAGCTCCCCTGAATGAAATGGCTGTTTCAGAGGGTGGGCTTTATGGCAGTCCTACCTCTCCTCCCCAGACCCTGCCCTTCTCACACACCACCCCCAAATAGCCTGGAATTTCCCAACCCGGAGTCAACGGCCATAGTTGGTTTCCAGGCCAATTCAAGGCATTGTTTTTAAAGCCCTAAATGGTCTGGGCCCAGGCACTGCCTCCTCTGCTGTGAAGCTCCCCATACCCTTTGACCACCTTCAGAAACCTTGCCCCCTCTCGTATTAGGAGCAACAACAGAGGACGGGGTCTTTCTAGAGGAATGCCTTCCCAAGGGAGAGTGGTATGGCTCCATTACCGTCAGCACTAAGACAGCAGAACAGAGTTATTCAGATAAGATTTCAGATTCGCCTCAACTTGCACAGTACTTATTGCACAATATATAGTGTGATGTTGGGACTGTTTTTGTTTTGCCGTCAAGTCGCAGCCAATTTATGGCGACCCCGTAGAGTTCTCAAGGCGAGAGATGTTCAGAGGCGGTTTGCCATTGCCTGACTCTGCGTAGCAACCCTGGACGTCCTTGGTGGTCTCCCATCCAAATACTGACCAGGGCCAATGCTGCTTAGCATCTGAGATCTGACGAGAGCAGCTAGCCTGACCCACCCAGGTCAGGGCACAAGGACTGTGGATGTAGCATTTTTCCTTATCTTGTATAACTTCGGGAAGTTTTCATGTCAGTGATATGTTTTATTTCATTTTGTTGCAAGCTGCCTCAATGTTTGGAACAATCAAAAAGAATACTTGTTATCATTTTAATTTTTTTTAAAGTATCTGTACCCAAAAAATTGGGAGTAAGGGGATTAAACGCTCTGTGTCCCCTAAGTGTGCATGTCTGGATCCGCAAGACCAGTTTGACACAAGGATGTCCATTGAGAAAGTCAACTTTTGCACAAGATGGTTGATTGAATCTGCCCTTCTCCTTGGACTGGGTTCTCTTAATCAGCCGTCAGCTGTTCCTTCTAACCCCATGCTGAGTTTTTAATTGTTTCCTTCATGTTTAATGATTTTTTAAATGCTGTTTTATTTTATGTTGTCAGCTGCCTCAAACAGGTTACCTGGAGAGGCAGCCCGGAGGTGTTCCAAATCAATACTTTACACCAGTTTTCTTTTCTTTCTCGCCCCCAGGGAATCCCGGTGCCTACCTTTGGAGGACTTTTTCCTTACCCGTACACCTATATGGCAGCGGCGGCTGCAGCTGCCTCTGCCATCCCGGCCACCAGTGCGGCCACGGCCAGCTCCTTATCCCGGAACCCCTTTCTGAGCAACGCCCGTCCCCGCCTGCGTTTCAGTCCCTATCAGATCCCGGTTGCCATCCCACCCAGCACCAACCTCTTAACCACTGGTCTGCCTACCAGCTTGAATGCCGGCTCGGAAGGGTCCAAGCCCGGGAGCAGTAGGGAATCGAGTCCCCTTTCGGATCTGCCCGTGCACAAATCCAGCAGCCAACGGGTCTCTTTGTCCCCCAAAGGGTCCCTGAAGGATTCCATCAATGAGCTGCAGAACATCCAGAGACTGGTCAGTGGTTTAGAAACCCAGAGGGAGGTCTCCCCAGGGAGGGAATCCCCGAAGTGATGGCCTCTGGAGGCACCCGGCTCAAAAGGGCTGAGACAGAACAGGGGACAGAGGTGTACAGCACAGTATAAATATTTATTTTAAACAAAGGAGGTGGGGCAATTGATACTGTCCGGGGGGGGGGGAGAACGAAGGACAATCAGAGGTAACCCCTATGGAGACAGCCAGATGGATCAATAGCTGGAAGAGGTACAGTTCAGTCCAGTGTATCGCGAGGCCGAAGAAGTACGGGAGAACTACTGCTGCATTCTGGAGATGGTCCCTCCATAAACTCCCCAAAACACACGTCTCCTGGTCCCGGTTCTGGTGGAAGACACAGAGACTGCTCTTCCCTTCTCTCCGGTCAGCCTAAAATCTACACTTCGAATGGCCGAACGGGGATCTCAAGTCCACAGTGTAAATAACCAGCTGCCGGACATGGGGGTGACCTAGAATATCATCATGGAAGAAAATGACCCACATTGTCTAATTCTAACTTTTTCCAAAAAAAAAAAAAGGAAGAAAGAAAGAAAGAAAGAAAGAAAGCAACACTGTCAGAGAGGCATTTTGCTATTTTCTATGTCAACGGATGGATTTTTCTGAAACTAGGATTTTGTTGTCATTGTAAAAACAAGGACAGTTGGAAGGGGAATGCCGTGAACTCTGGCTGTGGGACAGTCCCTAATATGACAGCAAAATCTGTAGAGATGATGCCCACGTACCCACCACTCTTGGAAGGCCATAAGAAAAATTCAGAATTGGTACAATTAGTGTAATGACCCCCCCTTTTTTTCTTCTCATTTTGGACCCTCTCTGTGTACCAGAAAAGAAACACACACATAATATTTATGGAATAAATGGTAATTTTGTGTAAATAAGCTATACAGATCCCCAAATATGCAAAAATTGGTATTAATTTATTCAGAGTTGTACATTGGAATGTACATAATTAGAGTTTAACTCATCACATTTAATTGTTCTCTCTTTTTCTTCTCAATTTTATGTGAGCATACATATTGTAAATGAAGACCTATTTAGCTCTTTGTGAATGGAAAAAAGATATTGGTTTTCTTTTATGTCTGAAGAAAAAGATTGTTTACCCCGCCTGTCTGAAGACTATCACGTGTGCCATTGACAATGTTTTTAGGTCATGAGGAAAAGGAAGAAGTTGGAATAATTTTAAAGGATTTCTACAAGGACTATAATCTCCCCTCCCTCCCCATATATCAAAATCAGAATTTAACATTGAACACAAATATCTTTTACAGTGCGGGGTATACAAAGATTGCAGGAATTAAACCTCAGGATTTTATTTTTCACTCCAGAACAACAAGAAAAGAAAAAAAGTCCCCAACCCTTAAAACTATACTAAGATTTAAAATATCACATGGATGGTGTGCTATATACTTGTTTTAATTTTTTAAAATGACTAGAAATGTGCTGGTTATTCGGGTATCTGTTCAATTTTTTTGATGAGTTCTCACAACTTTCAATAAAAAAACATTCAAAGAAAACTTTCTTGCGCTTCAGGTTTTCCTGTTCCTCATCTTTTGTTTTAATATTTTGAAGTCTGGTTGTTTGCTTTTACATCTCTGTCTCTTTGGGAACCCTGAAAGGAAAGACACCTAATACTTTCCAAACAAAATAATGCAACAAAGAGTGAAGTGGTTTTTGTTTCTCTCCTGAAAGCCTGCGTGCAGTTTTCATGCTATTTTGGTTGGTCCTAATAAACATGGCTTAAATTTTTGGATTTTGTGGCGGATCAAAGCGGCTACTTTTCTACTCTGCTCTGTCTGTAGTTCCTTTTTTCCAGATTTTCTTAGGTGCCACCTATAATTGGTCATGGGTGGAGCCAGGATACAATTCTCTTCTGGCTCCTCCTTCTAAGCTCCGCCCAGGGATGTTGTGAGGGGTGGAGCCTATGGATGCTTCCCTCCTACCCCAGTACTGATTTGCTCCAATTAGGGGTCATTTCGTAGAAAAAGAGGTGCAGCAGCTCATTAGCATAACTCATTAGCATAACTTATTTGCATATGCCACACACCCTGGCATCACCGGAAGTGTGTCAGAAGGCAACACCCACCGCTCAGGCGCCATTGGACTGTTTTGGATTGCTAGCTATTGGGGGGGGACGTGCAGATCTGTCCCCGCAGAGGAGGGAGAGCTGGTACCTGAATAAAACTTGGTCTTAAAGGTGCCACTGGACTGTTTTGGACCAGGGGGCTGGGGTGGGGGGGCTGTGCAACTTACCTGGCTGCTTCTTGCTCTGACTGAGGGCTGCTGGGAGCAGGGGGTGGGGCTTGTTGCATGTGCCCGCCCCCTGGGCTCTTTACTGCCAGAGCTTCGTTCCTGTGCGCTCCTGCAGGAAATGACCCCTGGCTCCAAACAATGTCATTTTAGGAAACCGAGTTTTTAAATTGTAGCTTACATTTTTTAAAAAAATAAGATTTCCCCCCTAGGATAGAAAAAGTGCTGCTTAAAAATGGGAGGCCGGCACCCCTTCAAAAGTTCAGTGATTCTAAACTTGCTCAGCAATACCCATCCACTCTTCCCCCTGGCATTCAACACACACACACACTCTCCCACCTTTGGCTAAGAAGAGAGTGAATGGCAAAGAGTTTTGAAAGAAGCAAAAGGTAACTTCAGGATCATTCTGAGCCATTCAAAGAAAGCCGATGCGCGTGTTTGGAGGAATTTTCTTCAAAGCTCTTACACACGTGTTTCTGGAGGGAGGGAAGGAGAGAGGAGGCTAGTCCTGCTAACTCAGTGGAGAATAAATAATTCACTCCGCATGTGCGCAAGCTGGCCTTGTCAGGATGGCCACTTTTCAAGTCCCAGACAGAGAACATTCAAAACAGGCGAAAACTGGGAATAAATGGAACTTCTCGGTTCTTGCCGTTCTTAAGTCCCCCACCCTCTCTCTTTTTGCCTTCCTTTGCGTCTGATTATTCCAGGGGTTAGGGTTGATCAGTTTGGGCCACACAGTTGATCAGTTTGGGCCAAGCCACTGATTGGAAACATGCGGTGGCCAGGGGTCATTTCGTAGAAAAAGAGGTGCAGGAGCTCATTAGCATAACTTATTAGCATAACTCATTTGCATATGCCACACCCCCTGGCATCACCTGAAGTGTGTCAGAAGGCAACACCCACTGCTCAGGCTCCACTGGACTGTTTTTGATTGCTAGCTATCGGGGTGGTGGTGGTGATGCACAGATCTGTCCTCACAGAGGAGGGAGAGCTTGTACCTGAAGGCAGGCCGGGGGGGGGGGCCCTGCAACCTACCTGGCTGCGGCCTCTGCAACTTACCTGGCTACTTCTTGCTCCTCGTGCCCCGACTGAGAGCAGGGGGCGGGGCTTGTTGCATGATCCCACCCCCTGGGCTCCTTACTGCCGGAGCTCAGCTCCTGTGTGCTCCTGCAGGAAATTACCCCTGGCAGTGGCTATTTTTATAAATGATGAAATGGGTCTCTTTACTAGGTATGCATGCCGAAGAAGAGCACTGCAGGAAAGCCCCAGCACCCTGTTCCCAACAGTGACCAGTCCAGTGTCCCCTGCTGCCGGTATTATGGGGCAGACTGCCTCTAATCATGGAGGCTACATCTAGCAGTCATGGTTTCCAGCAGCTGACAGAGCTATCCCCTGTCAGTTGGTCTAAGCAGAGTTAGGAGCTGTAGCCCCAAGTGGAGTCAGTCAGTCCTCTGTGTTAATACGTGAAGGAAGCAGAAATCCACTGGCTTAAAATCGGCAGCTGCCTCTGTCCTCTTGTCTCTCTCTGGGCTGTGCTCCTAAAATACACCGAGTATTTAATAATTAACTTTGAACATGCTAGTTCCCTCCCTCAGGCAAAATCTGAAATGGCATATCCTGTTTCTACAAATGGGAAACGGCATTTCCACTGGGGGCTCCTTCCTTTCTTGGCCTCCTGTAGGTTTGCGCTCTGGATTGGAAGCTGGAGGCAGGTGGTCACTTTATCAGGGAGCTGAAGGAGGATTCCTGATTTGTGGGGTGGACACTCATTTCATTGCTGCCTTTGGTCAAACAGAGTTGGCAGCTCTTTATTCTTTTTGCATTAAAAAAAAACCTACCTTACCTCTTTGTGAGGGGCAGACAGAGCATCACAGGAATATTGGCATCTTTCAGACTCCTTGCAAAGTTCTTAAAAATGCATTGTCTGTTTCCAGGCTAATTCAAACCTGTGGACTAGTTCTTTCTTTTTAATATACTCCCCAATTCCACCGGAGTTTGATAATTACAGAAGGCAAAACCTTAAAAAAAAATAGAAGCAGAGAGGAATCACACGGAATGTACTAATATAAAGAGTTCACTTCTTCCTTCCAAACTTGGACTCTCTGGCCTCTCTTTCTCTCTTTGGTAAGGACTATATTTTTTTTCTTAAAAAAAATAAAAATATGTTTGTTATTATTTTCAATTAGAGGATGTGTAGAAAGTCTGCAATAAATCCCAGCGGGCCTGCGTTTCATTTTGATCAGGAAAGATTAAAATGCTTCAATTCACATAGACATCCGCTTTGCATTACAGAGATATAAACGAAATAGGGGAGGGGAGAGAAAGTGGGATTGATTTAAAGTGACAGCAGCAGACGGGCTCTCCAGCAAGACGGCTGGTAAAATTTTGCTGGATTTCAAACAAAACAACAGCCACAATTTAAGAATCTCACAATCCGTAAAATCTTTGGTTCCTTTCCTTTTGATTGCCAGTGCCAACATAAACTGTTTTCCCTTTGAAAATTATCTTTTGCCTTCATTTTTTTGGTTCCAAATGTTTCCCATCCTTGCAGAAAGGAAGTTTTTTAAATTGGCTTTTTGGCAATCTGAACTTTGTGTTTTCCTGTTTTATCTCTTACTGGTTTCTCGGAACCATATATACAGAGAGGGATTTCTCCCGGTGGAGAAAGGTTGCCAGGCCAGCCAAAGCCCTCTTCCTTAGGAGTCTGTCTCAAATGAACATGGGGGGCAGTTACTGCTGAGTAAACATGAAGCGGATCAAACTGCCCAAGCATGAGTTGTGGGTCGGGAAGTGCCTGCTTCAAATCTCATCACAACTTCAAACTCACTTAGATTTCCAGGGTGATCTTAGCCAATGGGCACCAGCTGCAGCTCCCCCCCCCCACACACACATAAGGACATGCCTATGGTTGCCAACTCCAGGTTGGGAAATTCCTGGAGATTTGGGGTGTGTGTGGAGTATGGGGAGTGCAGGGTTTTGGGGATGGGTGGAGCTCAGTAGGATGTAATGCCATAGAACCCACCCTCCCAAGCAGCCGCTTTCTCCAGGGGAACTGATCTCCGTCATCTGAAGATGAATTCTAATGTTGGGGGGGGGTCTCCAGGCCCCACCTGGAGGTTATCAACCCTAAAGGTGCCTATAGCCTCCCCCCACCGAGGAGGTGGGAAAAGAAGAATAAAAGCAGGTTCCTGTTTCCATTTCTACCAACCCCATCTGTGACTCTGGGCAGCTGGCAGGCTTTTGATGGCACCTTGCTTGGGGTGAAGGTCACCTGTTGCTTAGCCCTGGAAGTGGGGCATAGAAAAGGGGTTGACGGTGGTTCTGGAGGGCCCTCCTGGACTTTTGCCCGGGGCCTCCGCATCACCAGGACCTCATCTGTTTCTTAGCCTTCCAGAAAGGGGAGGGGGCGCTCGATCGCAGCTGCTTGCCAAAGACTACCGGAGCGCGGCTGTGAAAAAAGCAGAATTCAGACCAGCAGTTTCTGGATGTTCCACTTGGTCTCTTAGCTGCTGCACTGTGATAACTTAAACAGGTCTTACGTCTGCCTGATCTTCTCACCCTTGACAGCCAGGATTTTAATAATACCAATTAATATCTTTTTTTTGGGGGGGGGGACCATGTCAGGGTGTTCAAAGCCTGCATGACCACACAACCCTGCAAGGTTTTTGTTCTTCAGTCACACAGTCAAGTCCGACTCTTCGTGACCCCCTGGACCACATCACGCCAGGCCCTCCTGTCCTCTGTCACCCTCCGGAGTTTGCTCAACCTTGCCCTGCAAGGTAGGTCAGACAGTATTATTAACCCCCAGAGATCAGCCATCAACGGAGTGCTTGGTAGGTCAGCAGAACATTTTATTGCTACAGTTATTGGGATAATTAATGCAAATCACCGGAAGTAGAGAGAGAGAGAGATATCCCTGCCCCAAAGAACTTGCAAGCTGAGTGCTGCACTAACACGACTGGGGCAACCACATTTGTGCTTTTTGCCTGTTTGGTTTCCATCTCTGCATTGCTTTGTTGATGCCCTCCAGAGCATCGTCCGTCTTATCCAGGTAGGGTCTCTTTTTGGCCACCTGGCTGCCTGCTTTCCCCTCCTCCCCACGCACACTTTGTTTGGTCAGATAAACAGATGTTCCATCCATCAGAGTCTCCTGCCACCCCACAAGAGCCCCAGTTGCCTGCTCCATAGGTTGGTGGAGGGA